ATTTTAAGACAACCTACTTCTTCTTCAAGAAGCAATGACTCCTGATGGTCAGAGTTTCTACAGACTTATACACCAGTCTCACTCCTAATTCCAACAAAACAAAGAAATGCAAGCGCAGGGGTTACAACAAAATTGTCCACTACATGAGAAGAATAGCTTGAACCATCTATTAAGAACATTTACCATCGATATACAAGGTGCACTAGCAAATTAGAAAAGAAACGAACCACCATACCCTTAGCAACAGTAGAATCTCTCAGACACCTTAAATTTAAAATGGAGAGCTGAAAAACTCAATACAAACCAAGCTAAACATTGAGCAGCAGGCAAGGTAAGTGCAAAACAATCAACAACTTTCCCATCAACAACCTTTCTTACCAAACTGAATCCATCAAATCCTAGCACCACCACTTGCACGAGAAGCACATAGAAACAACAAAACACAGACAACTTAAAACCCAACACCTACTATAACCTGCTGACCTTCTCCATCAATAGTAATGCTTCTCCTAAGTGGGCTATAATTTGGAACATAATCGTCCTTATGGAACCGAATTCTACCAGCACAAACATATATTTGCCTTGTAGATATTATGAAAAGAAACAATAGGACAAGTGTTAAATTGATACAAATGGGGATAGTTCCAAAATGGGCAAACCTTGGATTTCTCTCACACGGGAGAAATGTGGTGGTTCTTTAACTGAAATGCTATCGAGAAATAGAGTGAAAAAGTCTGTTGAATAATTTAAGCCCATTGTCAAAAATCTAACTAGTAGTAAAAAATTAACTATACAAGGTTTCTGGTGGAAATCCCAGAATAATATAAAAGAAAAAGAAAATACCTTCAAGGAACAGTAAGGTGATTGAAAGAAATAGTGACCTTAGAATTGGAACAAAAAGCAAGCGAAACATTCATAGTTATTGGTTAGAAATGAAACGGACAAAGAGAATTCTATGGAGGGAAATTTCGTGGAAAATATAGACAAACGTGGTATCCTTGTTCTTCTTATGTGGACAATGAATCAAACACGTTATATGATAAAATCATTCTGCCTGGCAATGGCGTGTATTTCTGTAACACCCCCAACCCGTATCCGACCCGAATTCGAGTCCGAGGTGTCACATTGACTTTTTCAAAACATTTACTTGTATAAAATAGTGAGTAATTTAAAATTTTTATCCATATAACTTATTCAGAACATTTAAAGAACTATTCAGAGCTTATACAATATATCATTTTGAATACATGCCAACTAGAACTTCATATATTAAAATACATATTATTCACCTTTCTTCTGATCTGACCTTTGGTAAGGAGAACTGACCTGTCTTGCTCCACATTGCTCTTTACTCTTCTCGAAACCTACGTGTAAATCACTTACACGCTAAGTCTATGACTTAGTGAGGCAATAAATATATGAGCGAGAAAGGGATGAAGACACTTTTGTCAAAAGGGAAGCTGCCGGATCTAAAGAATGTAGATGTCGAACTATGTGAGGATTGCATCTTTGCCAAACAAAATAAAGTCAGTTTTGCAAAGATTGGCAAGACACCCAAGGCAGAAAAGTTAGAGTTGGTTCATACTGATGTATGGGGACCATCTCTAGTTCCATCCCTTGCAGGCTCACTATATTATGCCACCTTCATCGATGATTCAACAAGGAATGTGTGGGTTTATTTTCTGAAGAAGAAATCAGAAGTCTTTGATACCTTCAGAAAATGGATGACCATGGTGGAAAATGAGACTGGTTTGAAAGTCAAGCGGTTGAGGTATGATAATGGAGGAGAATATAGAAATAGAAGATTCAGAGATTTCTGCACAAACAATGGGATCAAGATAGAGACAATAGTTCCCATGACACCGCAGTAAAATGGCATAGCAGAGCGCATGAACAGAACTCTGAATGAACGTGCCAGAAACATGAGGATACAAGCCGGATTACCCAAATTTCTATGGGTTGAAGCTATCAACACTGCACTTTACCTAATCAACCGTGGGCCCTCAGTTCCTTTGGATGACAGAATACCAGAGGAAGTTTGGAGCAAGAAAAAATAAACATTTCACACTTAATAGTGTTTGGTTGTATTTCTTATGAACACATAGATTCTGCTGAAAGAATTAAACTTGATGCCAAGTCCAACAAATGTGTCTTTGTTGGTTATGGTGGTGATGAGTTCGGTTACCAATTTTGGGACTATGAAAATAGGAAGATCATCAAAAGCAGAGATGTTATTTTCAATGAGAATGTGATGTACAAAGACAGGGCAACCATAGAATCAAGTAGCTCCAATACCGAAGCTGAAATAAAGGAATTTGCTGAGTTCAAGGAGATTTCTAGAAATGATGTTCAGATCAATCCTGAAGCAGTTCAAGAAGAACCAGCCACACCAGAACTGAGACGCTCCTCCAGAATTCCTAAACCAACCCAACGATATTCTCCTTCTTTGCACTACTTGTTGCTGACTGACAATGGTAATCCAGAGTACTATGATGAAGCAATGGAAGTGGAGGATTCAGTCAAGTGGGAGTCTTCCATGAAAGATGAGATGGACTCGCTTATGTCAAAACAGACGTGGGAATTAGCTGAATTACCACCAGGCAAGAAAGCGCTCCACAACAAGTGGATTTACAAGATCAAAGAAGATCACGATTGGAGCAAACGCTACAAAGCGAGATTGGTTGTCAAAGGTTTTCAACAAAAAGAAGGTATTAACTACAATGAAATTTTCTCTCCAGTCGTGAAACTGTCCACAATCAGACTGGTGTTGAAAATTGTAGCTGCAGAAAATTTACATCTTGAGCAGTTAGATGTAAAAACAACTTTCCTTCATGGTGATTTGGAGGAAGAAATCTATATGAGGTAGTCAGAAGGCTTCATAGAGGCAGGCAAGAAAAACCTGGTATGTAGGTTGAAGAAGAGCTTGTATGGTTTAAAACAAGCTCCTAGACAGTGGTACAAGAAGTTCGATAGCTTCAAGAGTAGTAGTGGTTTTACTAGATGCCAAGCAGATCATTGTTGCTACATTAAGAGGTTCGATAATAGGTTTATTATTTTATTGTTGTACGTTGATGACATGCTCATTGCAGGCTCAGACATACAAGAGATTTTACACTTGAAGCAAGAATTGTCGAAGCAGTTTGCTATGAAGGATATGGGCGCTGCAAAGCAGATTCTTGGGATGAGGATTAAGAGAGACACAAATTCGGGGACTTTGATGTTATCACAGGCTGAGTACATCAACAAAGTACTCTCCAAGTTTAACATGCAAGATGTTAAACCAGTAAGTACACCTTTAGGTGTTCATTTTAGACTCTCCAAAGAACAATCACCAAAGACGGAGGAAGAACGTGTACACATGGTGAAGGTACCGTATGCCTCAGCAATTGGAAGTCTGATGTATGCCATGGTTTGTACCAGACCAGATATTGCTCAAGCAGTGGAAGCTGTTAGCAGGTACATGAATAATCCGGGTAAGGTACACTGAGAAGCAGTCAAATGGATCCTCAGATATCTGCAGGGTACTATAAACAAAGCACTTTATTTCAAAGGTGGAGATACGATACTGACAGGCTATGTAGATGCTGACTTAACCGGAAATGTTGACATCAGAAAAAGCACTACATGGTATTTCTATAATCTAGGAGGTACTGCAGTGAGTTGGGTTTCTCAACTACAAAAGATAGTTGCTCTCTCCACAACTAAGGCAGAATATGTCGCTGTTACGGAAGCCAGCAAGGAGATGGTTTGGCTCCAAAGTTTCTTGGAAGAGTTAGGCAAGAAACAAGAAAACAATGTTTTGTATTGTGATAGTCAAAGTGTTATCCATCTAGCAAAGAATCCATTTTTTCATTCCAGGATGAAGCACATACAATTGCGATATCATTTTATCCGGTCTCTTCTAGAAGATGGGATTTTGAAACTTGAAAAGATTAGTAGAGCTCAAAATCCGGCAGACTTGTTGACAAAGACGGTGACTACGGACAAACTGAAGTTGTGTTCAACTTCAGTTGGCATGCTAGAATAAAAAGACCAGAAATGCTGCTGCATTGATCGATGTGTGAAGACAGATTAAAATCAGTCTTCAAGTGGGAGATTGTTGAAAACATGGGCGGCTAAACATGTGGGGCGGCTAAATGGGGTCTGTTAATTTTTTTTATTGAAATAGAAATAGCATTAATTACAAGATTAGTCCCTAACCTTCAACTATAAATACCCTAGCTCATTTAGTTTCAAAATCATCCCAAAAAAATCAATTCTTTCTCACATTACTAGAGAGCGTTCTTGTGAGTAGTGAGTGTTTTGTAAACACCTGTAAATTTTCTCTCTTAGTAAAAGATCTGCAGCAGTCCGAAGACGTAAGCAAAATTGGCTGAACTCCGTTATCAATTTCGGGTATTATTTTTCCGCTTTTATTTCGCATTCTCACTAATCTGGTTATAGGGAAATTACTTGTACTCGGGTTTATTTCCCAACAACCATATGCAGCTTTCATGCAAAGGTTCTACAAGTTTAGTGTCTTTGGGGATGTCCATGCTTAACCGAATGCCAACCCTACCTGTTAGAGAAAACAATTTTTGGGCATAGAAAAATAATCAGACAATGACATAAGATGTTGGTGCATCTTTGAAAGAATGGGATATCATAGCAGCCAAACATTATTTGTAAAACGGAATGCAAAGAACAAGATACTAATTGCAGCCAGTAATCAACATGGCAACAAACTAAATTCTTGAATATGATCAGTTTTTCCGGAAAAAAAGTCCTGCAGCACTATAAATTAGTCAAGAAAAGAGAAAAAAATCAGTGGAATTAGAATGAAAAGCTCTCAATTTAATTGCCACAAAGAAGAATAATATTGTCATTATGCAGGGCTTGCAAGACACATGGCATGAATCCATCTATGTAGGGGGAAAACACTTAAAGAATTGAAAACGGGAAGGGGATTGAGAGAAAAATAAAGGAATTCAGGGAGAACACATCTAGGAAGACCAAAATACTCACAGAGCATAAAATCTTTCCAGAGGGAAGAACAACCAATAAGGTAGACTGAGCATCCTGAGATTGGAAAACTGGAAATTTGAACTGATTCCAGATTCTCTATTTAGTTTCAGAACTCCCTGACCCACTTGAAATACACATTAAAAAATGAGTAATCCTTGAAAATCTCACTATGCATCCCTTTAAAGAGGCAAAACATAAAACAGACAAAAAAATCAAGTACCAATGTCACACATGATTATGCGGTTTTCAAAAGTTGTAAAAGATGATATAAGACCAGCATATAGGAGCTCCTTTCGTGATATGTTGGCATCACTTTGCTGTTGCAACAGAAAATTTGGCATCGTTTTCAGGAGGGATACTTTCTCCGAGATAAAGTGTCTACAGAACTCCAAAGTATTCGGAAGTCCTTCATAGAAATGAGATAAGAAATATTAGACGGACTCAGCAGATTAAAATACAAACAATGAACATATAGAAAAATAAATTTGAACCTTTGACAGCTTCTTTAATCGCTCCTGATGCAAAATCCATAACCCATAAATTCTCAAAGCTGCAAGCACCATTAAGTAGAATCATAAGAATCTCTTATGTGGCCTACTGATTAAAGACATTGGCAACAACAATTAAAACATGGATTGCTGGAGCACTGTTAGCATTGCTATCGTGGCACAAGAAGATATATAATTTTCATTACCTTGAAGTTAAAAACAACAAATAAGCAACTAAAAAAATTTTAAAAATGAATAAACATATAAAAAGAAAAGGCTATGAAGAATATGTTTAACAACTATGAAGCTTTAAGGGGTGAGGTAAGATTTCTAGAGAAAAAGTGTCTAAAGTGTTGATAAGAGAAGTACAATAAGAAGATTTACCTTCGACTGGCAATTAAAAAACTATTATCCCCCAACTTTATCAGATGCCAAGGACAAATTAGTGCTCGGGAATCATGCTCTTCAAATTTCACATCAGCATCACTGGCAAAACCTAGCTTGGTCCTGATCCAGGTCCACAAACTAGTGCTTCTCTTGTTGCTAGATGTCGGATAAACTGTTTCCAAAACCCTCCTTTCTAAATCAGCTCTCCTGATGGCATGATTCTTAACAGATGGAACCAAACCAAAAATATTAATTAAAACCTAATTAAAATTCCATTAGCATATCACACTAACATTATATAAATCAGATCAGCAAAAAGAAGGCAAGTGAAAATATTATGTGTCTTATAGGATATAATTACAAAGAATTCAACTCAACTTTTCAATCTATAAAGGAAGCCTAGAGCTTAGATCCTATGATGCACATTGTATAAATCAAGAGAATTATCAGAAGCATTAAATTTACATTTTGTTTCTTGCCAAAATCATAACCAATCTTGTAGCAAAGAGATTTTTAAACCATGAGACCTTAGTGCCTTAAACTTAGTTTTAAAAGGAGCTAGGCGCAAAGGATCCCTGGAGCCTAGGCACAAGGTGCACACAACTTTTGTAGGCGAGGCATACCTTTTATGCTAAAAATTTATAGATTAATTCTAGATTATATTCATACCCATTACTCACTGATTCACTCCTAAATCACTTAGGGTCTGTTTGTTTTCAAGAAAACCAATTACGGAATTGGTTTTCCCTCAATTACCGTGTTTGGTTCCCGTAAAAGCCTTTGGTCAATGTAAAACCAATTACAATTAACGTAAAATAAACTCCTTTGGCCCGTAAAACAACTTGCCACGGAAAAATTGGGAATTCATTTTACGAACCAACTGCCTCCCATGTTTCTTTGCCTTTGATCTCCTTCATTCTCCGATCAACTATCACCATCTTCTTCTCACCAACAACAAAATCAGCAGATTTTTCCAGCAAAATCAAGAGAGGAGCTCTAGGATTCCAAGGTAATATTTCGAATCCCTAACGCTCTTCCTCCCCTTTTACTTTCCTCTTTGATTTCCAAGGGTAAATCTCTTTTAAAAGGTACCAATCATACTGCCATTTTCCCTCTATATGTGGTGATTGATTCGGTAACCACCGAGGTCGACATTTCATCTGGTATCTTTTTTATTCTTAAAAACCATTTTTATTACCATTTTTAGTTTCCTGCTTATGAATTTTCTGTCTTTTTCGTTGTTTATTGGTATCCATATGCTTTCTAGATTACCATTTAAGAGGTCGAACTCCGCTTTTAGAGTATAAACCATTTCCAAATTACCATTCGCCGGATTCTACTCGCTCGCAAAGCGGAGTCCGGTTGTTATCGTCGACTTGTAAGTTCCGTGTTTCTGTTAATTCTATTATGTTTATGGGTACGTTCATTTATTATGTGGATCTATGTTTTGATTGTTTGACAGCTTGATTTTGAGCTACTAGTATTCCATTTTTATCTGTTTTTTTAGCTACAGTTTGCAGTTTCAAAGCAATATTTTCAACATATGCAACAAAAAATGACACTGAAAGTGAGATACATTCTAGGATGATCGAAAAACAAAATAGGAGAAGGGACAAAAAGAGATAAGCATCATAAAAATGAACCAAATAAGTATCTGATGTTAATGTTGTTATCTATACGAAATAAGAACTTGATCCAGCAGTAAAAGGAAAAGCAGTAGGTTCAAGTATAACACATCTTCAAGGAGAAATAGTATTCATCTTATAGGAAACAGAAACAGAATAAAACATTGTTATACTTATGCAACATAACTTTTTCTTCTTTTCTTTGCATTAAACTTCTACAAGCTAGCGCCTTTCATTCAAACAAATAGCTTATATCATCAGTAAAAAATCACAAAGAAAAAATAATAGACAATCTTTAGCCTCAACAAACCTTAAAACGTGGATCAAAAACTATTTTTGGGAGTTCTTTTTCCCATTTTGAGAATGGTGCGACCTCCAGTTCTTTGAGCATTTTCTGTGAATTTCACTAGCATGATAAACAATTTACTCCAGCTACAAGATCGGATGGCAGTAATAAAACATATGATAACCAAATTTGAGAATATACAACAAAATATGGCACTATAGATACCATAATTAAAAATAAATCAAAAGAAATTGGATTTTTTTGTACTTATGCTCTATGTTGACTCTAACACTGCCTATTTCGTATTATCAATTTGTTTTCATCGATTAATATTTCTGTTATATGATGTATGAATCTTATTAGTTGTAATATTTCTGACAGATTCTTCTTATTGGAGTTCACATGCACATTTGGTTAAAATTTTCTCTAATACGAGGATCGACCAATGAACCTGACATATCATTGATAACAAAAGGGAAACGAGGTACGTTTTTCAATATATAATATATGACATAAATTCTTAATAGTATATCAACATAAATTACATCCACTTTAGCTTATAAAAGCTTAAACGTAATATGAACTTTAGCTTTAGATAAAAGCTTAAACGTAATATGAACTTTAGCTTTAGGTAAAAGCTAAAACGTAATATGAACGTAAAAGCTAAAACATAATATGAACTTTAGCTTTAGGTTAACTAAATTATAATAAAACTATCATTTGGAACATTTAGGATGAGACAATGGAGGTGTGAAACTGTTAAAAGAAAGAAAGAACGAATATAAGATCTTGTGATGTCATGTATTTGGCATTATAACTAGCCAACTGACTAACCAAATCTAGATGCAGCAATAACTAGTTTTATTATGAATTAGACAATATCTTTGTATTATTATGGTTGGATAATATCGTTATCTTAATGTTTGTAATCACAGTATGATTTTGTATTATTATGGTTGGATAATATCGTTATCTTAATGTTTGTAATCACAGTATGATTTGCATCTTTAGATTCTTTTTTCTGCTATTTTTGGGGACATGGGTCTCTAAATTTTGAGATTTGTTGTTTCTTCACTTTGCTATTTTGCTTCTTAGTTAGAGCTTCCTTGGGGGTTTCCTTTCATTTGCTGGGTGCTATAGCTTGTGATGTGAATTTGAAGTAGGCGTGGTTAGATTTTTGTTTATACATATAATGAGAAACAATGGGTTTTGCTTCATTTGAAGTGAAAGTGGAAGTGTTAGTTTCACTGATATGTTTTACGCACCCTAAGTATTTACCCCAAGTTGAGCTTCTTTCATATGCTAAAGCATTATTTATACCATATGAGACAGTAAAACAGGTTTATGTTTGATCCCAGTTCATGTTATTGAATGTCATTCATGTTGGTAAGAGTAAGATAATGAGGGAAGAAAAATAATCGGTATTAGTTGAGGATTCCGGTCTTGCCTCTTTTATATTTTTTTATTAATTAAAAGTAATAAATTACCTTGAACCTTTTGTTTTAGTTGGATATCCCATACATTAGGGCCGTCAACTTGACATATATCAGATTTGATCTTGAAGTTAACCATCTACAACACCACCTTGATTATCACCATCATAGACACTACTGGGATCTTCAGTAGCAGCTGTTTGAAATTGGATGCTAGCTGCATTAGCATCATTGTCACCATATTCGGATACCGAGCTGTGTTGGTGGGTCCATGAGATGAAGCATAAGAAGCAGAGGCTGCAACAGCTCTATCAGCGCTCCGTTTAAGCCTACACATGTGATTAAGAATCGAAACACACTTCGTTAAGGGCAAGCTCAATGCCACAGTTTGCTTTCATAGCTGAAAGCTTCTCCCAAGTGCATCTTCTCCCTTGGTTGACTGCCTTTTGAAGCGCATTACCATTTCTGCCAACCAGAATAGAACCATCGACCTGCTGGTTTAAGCGCAACGTGCACAACCACAAAGGAGTATGGAGGTTGGCTTGCCTCTTTTATATCATATGGTATTGTTAAGTGTGATGGCTTGTTGCCAACAAGCCACTGCTTCAGTGGCAAGACTTTGAAAATATTATTATTATTGTTTTAATAATGATGTAATTTTAATTATATACTTTGATAATATATTTTAATACAGTATCAACATTATATTATTAAACCTACATATTTTCTACAAATTTAATTTCATGTACTTATACAAATAAAACATTTCATTTCAAAATTTTATAAAATACAATTTTTTAAAATAAATTAAAAAATTAAAATGTAAATAACAAGAAAATTTTAAAAATATATACTTTTTACAAAAAAAAAAATAATTCGTAAATTGTTTTCAGGAAAACTAACCAAACAATGTAAAATATTTTACAATGCAGCATCCAAACAATGTAATTTGTTTTCTGAAATTGGTTTTCCAAAAATATAATTGGTTTTCTAGAATTGATTTTCTAGAAAACAAATTACAACCAAACAAACAGACCCTTAATCAGTTTTAAATGATATAAATTAATTTTATAATCAATTTAAAATCTTCACATAAGTTTAAATTATTATAAAAAAATTAAGTTTTATATTTAATATAATTTATTGATTAAAATTTATTTAATTTAATATATTATTATTTTAAAAATAATTATATATACTATTAAATAGATAAATTAAAAAAAGCATAAAAATAATATAAAAGCAGTGTATTTTTTACCAAAAGATAATGATCAGATATAAAAGAAGTGTACTGATGCATTTTTAGTGAAATAGGCTGTAATGGGCTTTTTATAAATAAATAAATATTAGTAGTTTCTTTAGAGTTTGGCTATATATTTAGGCTGATTAATAGGTTATATAAACCTTATATTTATTAGGGTTAAGGGAATATATGGTTTTATCTTCTTCTACACGGTTCTTCTATTTCTTCTGCACCATTCTTCCTATTTTCTATTTTCTGTTGTTTCCCTTTTGTTCTCCCATCCCCCCAAAAGGCGCAAAAAGGCCAGCGCCTGCGCCAAAAGCTCCAAAAATGGAAGAAACGTGCGCCCGCCGTATTGCACCTATGCCTCTGGAGGTGATTTTTCCGGCGTCTGCCCTGCACCAGTCGCTTAGGCGCCTCGGGGCACGCTTTTTAAAATTGCCTCAAATATAAGCTGCAATATGAAATCGTGTAAAGACCATATCTCATAATCTACAATATAAAGACAATCTTCTATATCATGATAAAAGGAAGCAGCAGGGTGAAGCAGCTTTGCAGAC